TTGTACACACAGCTTCACTGGTATTTTCATCAAGGACAATGTGCAATATTGTCATTTAATTGAAAACTGTCTCAGCTGAAACTTTGGACTGTGATACGTATTCACTGCCCTTTTAAGTGGCACGGACTTTGTGGTATTTTTACAAGCTCTTACGATGCAAATAACCATGATTCATTGGGAAACCCTTCCTATAAAATGTTACACTACTTATACCTCCCCCAGCCACACGTCATTTACAAAGTTATTTTTAAGACCATAAAACCACAAGCACTACTGCAACAAAAATTAAACCACAGAATGGTTCTTATCAAATCCAGCATCTCACAGCCCTTGACTTTCTTATGTTGTCTATTTATTTCTTCTGCCTTGTACAGCATCCGTCTTCGACCCATACATTGTAGTAATTCACATCCAAGCCGGACACGGTTGGTTACAATGTCACGCATCTTGTACCAAGGCACTTCGCAAATTAAAATCCTGCTTAAATATTTGGAATGCACTATCCCAAATCATTTTGTTACCTAATTCATTGCACTTCAATATGTGGAAGCCGGAGGTGTTCTTACAACTTCAGCACACGGAGTGTGTGGGGGGAACCAACAACAAACAAACAACGCTCAAAAAAGCACAAAGGTGAAAAGCAGCTGGAGTAGCTTGGCCAGCAGTGTCAGCAGAACACATTCACAGAATCTTTGCCTTCTTATTCCCAAGATGTCTTTGAAATCTCAGACTACGACTAAACCTCAGTTACAAACGAGAGTCCACGATGGGCACGGCAAGCACATGCCAATCACACATCACAGGGCCACTTGAGCGACAGTCACTTCAATCTATCCCTGGTCAGCTCCTCAGAACACTACTTGGAAAACTACACACTAAAGCAAAAAAGCCACTATCTAGCACTTACATCCTAATTATCTCCTTGCAGCTGTCAGGACTCCTCCAGGATCCACCACCAATTTTCATCTACTCCATTAAAATCTCCCCATGTATCCATATCCTAAGGGAATAAGTAAGTCTCTAAGGGAATAAGTAACATTCAAATAATTCAAAGTTTGCAATGTTCTCGTACTGTTTCACACAACTGATGTTATTTTGAATGCATGCACCTTAAAAATCATGCCCAAGACATGAACATTTTCTAAGCTTATTTCCCATTCAGTGGCAAATGTATTTTCATTTGCCAAATCTATTTCATAACAAAATGTCCCCATAAATTATTATTATGGCACTAATTGAAAGTAAAAAAATTAAAAATTCTAAATCCTTATAATAACCATTCCCTCATAGGATGCTTCTTCCTTCCCATTTGTCTGATTACTGCACACAATTCATGAGTGATAAACAACACTCTGCAGTTTGTTACAGTAACATAAGCACACAAATAGGATGGTCCCCATGAATTGTATATGAAAAGCAAAGCTAAAATCAGGCTTCCAAAACAAGCTGTTGCACTACCTGACTTCTGGATGCCTAACTGTGCAATCATTAAGTTATGTCTGCTAGAATTATTTAATAATCATATGTCTAGGTGAAATCTAATAGAAGTTCAAGCTATTATGTGGAAAGTAAAAATACACATCTGTGATATTTTACCTCCTTATGGACAGAAATTCAACACAACACTATTCCCTTTGTCTTACTTCCACCTTTTCCCTACAGATTTCCATGGACAATGGGCATCATGTGCCACGGCTATATCCAGCCTTAGGTGTGTTCATGGACTCATTTCACCCCTGCTCTCTATCACAAGGAGCTGGATTCTGGGCCTTAGTGTGAGCAGTAAGTGTGACCTTCTGCGTGTGCAAGATATCAATTTCCACGAAACTAAAGACTTCAATCTCCTGTTGCTGGCAAATGTGATTGAAATTGGACAGAGAGCTAAAATGAGGAGGCAGAGGAGAAGAAAGAAGGAGTCTTCTCTCCTTAGGAGACCAAGCTGAAAACACATTCAACAGGAAAAGTTAGTTTCCAGTGACCGAGTTCTAAATAAAAGAGCCGGCCTTGTACAGTGTCCTCTGACGTGGGCCAGCTTCCCGGCTGGGATGTCACAGCGCACGGGCACACGGCCGGGATGCACCGGGCATTCCGCATCCCGGGCTAACGAGACGATGCCACACTGGGGAACAGCGCCCAAAGGAACTCCCCGAAGGGCGACCGCGGCTCAATTGTCTCACAGCATCAAGGCTGCAAAGCGATAAGGACACCCCGGTCTCCACACCTTCACCGCTGCTTCCCTCGGCCACACACACCAACCCCACCGGGGCAACCCGGGCTCGCAGCGGCGGCACAACTTCCCTGGGCACGGCCCGGGCACCGCTACCGAGCCGGGACCGTCCGGGGCCGCCCCGCCAAGGGCCGCCCGCGCCCCCCCAGCTGCGCCCGGGCCCGCCTGGCCCTGCAGCCCCTGCCTGAGCCCCGCTGGCCCGGACAAAGGGGCACTGGTTCCCATACGGCGGGGCTGCCACCGGCGTCCCGGGGCCAGCGCGGCCCCGGCCCAGTGCGGCGCCGCAGCCCCGCCGTCCGTCCCACGCCCTCATCCCGCTCCCCTTGGTAGCGCCGCCGGCGGCCCCATCCCCGCACTCACGGTCGGGCCAGGCGCGCTGCGCGGCGGCCCCAGCGCCGGGACCATCCTCCGCCGGGCGGACACGGACACGGACACCCCGCGCCAGCGCCGCCACCGCCTCCGCGCCACAGCCCGCCCGCGCAGCCCACCCTGCTGCCCGCGCCGACACCAATCACCGCGCGCAGGGTGAGCCCCGGAGGCCAATCAGAGGCAGGCAGATCGGAGAGGACGTCGCTCGCCCTCAACTGGGCGTGGCCGGGCTGGCGCGGGCCAATCGCCGCCACAAACATTGGGGGCGCGGGCCAATCAAAGACCAGGGAGGCCGAGACTGGCGTCAACAAGGTAAGTTGGCCGAAACAGGAACCGGCGGAGAGCGGCACCGCAGGCGGCCAATGAGCGGCGCGGACAGAGCGCGAGGGGGGACGGGCGGGAGCTCTTAAAGGGGCAGGGCCGACCCCGGGGGGGAAAGTGCTGTGGGTCACTTAATACGGGGGTGGGTTTTGCCTTCAGATGGAAAGGTGCCGCCCTGCCAGAGCGGCGGCGAGCGGGGACACGGCGCTTCGGAAGAAAACTCCGCGAAGGGGCTGCGGGTAAAGGGGCCAAGAGTCACCGGAGCGCCGCCCTCCCCACCCCACGCTGAAACAGTGCCCTGCGACCCGGCCAGCAGCGATCGGGACAGGAACTGGGAGCTGGGTAAAGATTTTCCAAATCCTGGATGCCAGCGAGCTGTTCTGGTGGGAGCCCAACCACCTCCGGCGACTGGGCTGTTCCAAGGTCTCTGCTGCGGCTGATCCCTTCACAGGTGCTTTTACACAAGGCTTTGTCCCGCGCTGTGCTGGGGGGAGGAAGGCGCTCCATCCACCTTCCTCGTGAGTTAAATCAGAGTTTAAGGAAAGCGTTGTTTTATAGCCGCTCAATTAGGGACTCTGGGCCACTATCAACTCCCCGATACCTCAGTTTGTGCTTCCCGCCAACACCTGATTCAATCACCAGCCCTAATAAGGGATCTTCCTATTTCCAGCCTCACCTATGTGTTTCCACGGATGTCCTGACACAGCTACTTTCTGGAACTCTTATCAGATGTGTTTTACAAATACAAACTGTATTTTATAAGCACATCATAGAATGATAAAGGGTTGGAATGGACCTTAAAGACCCTCTCATTCCAATCCCCCTGCCAGGGGCAGGGACACCTGCCACTAGACCAGGGTGCTCCAACCTGACCTTCAATACTTCCAGAGTTGGAGCATCCACAGCCTCTCTGGGCAACCTGTGCCAGTGCTTCACCACCCTCACAGTAAAAAATTTCTTCCTAATATCTAATCTACATTCCCCCTCTTTCAATTTGTACCCATTGCTCCCTTGTCCTGTCACTACAGTTCTTGGCAAGAGTCCCTCTCCAGCTTCCTTGTAGCCCCCTTCAGATACTGGAAGGCTGCCACTCTCCACACATTCTCTTCTCCAGGCTGAACAATCCCACCTTCGTCATGGTACCTCTGCTTACCTGTAGGCGATAATGGAGCTTGCAGGGCCTCTTCTTTCTGAGACAACCTAAAAACGCAGAGCTGTGATGTTTGGGTTTGTGGAAAACATAGATACCTTTTTCCCAGCCATATACCTTCCTAAAATACAATACAGAGCAGGGACAAGTTTCTGAAGCAGTGTCCAAGAACTATTCTGCTGCTGAAATGAGTCATAGTAGCAATCAGATGTTAAAAAACCCAAACCAGTTTATTTTTAATAGCTGCTGCTTGCAAAATAACCTTGCAGCTGACACGAAGTGCAAGACCCATTTGCCAGCTGTGAAAAACGTTAAGGCCCAAGCTGGTTTTGCAGAGAAATTCTAAAGTTACTATAAATAGCAGCTTCACAGTGTAAATTATAAATTTAAATGCACTTTTTTGGTTTTAATTATCTTTAGTTCTGATATGACACAACCAAACTGGAAGACAAAATCTGAAATACCACTGCTCCATCAATGTACTCCAATATAAATTGAAGGTTTTTTCCTCTTTAAAGGGTAGTGTGCTTTTTTGGTGGAAATTTTTAGTAAAAAGCACCTCTTCTCCAAAGCAGTAAAACCAAGTTTACCTTCTGCCACCCTGTAATGCTCTAGAGTTTTTGAGCTCATAAATTGTCAACATCAGAACACATCTGAAACACGGTGGCAAAAATCCAGCAGCAGGCAAAACTCCACAGGTGAAGTCACATACAACAGGAACCTGCTAAGTATCAGTAGCCTATTTCTGTTGGAGAACATAGACTTGCAATTATATGGCAAGATGCTTAAGCCAAAACAAACAGCACAAATGCTTAGAAAAGCTTTACATTAAATAGGTAACTTGGTGTTTATGTGACAGGTGAAGAGTTTCTACAGCCATATTTCAGATAGTCTTAATCAAGAACTTGAGCGCAATTGTGGTTTTTTGGGTTGTTTTTTTAATTCTTGGCTTTAGTGAGGTTTGGATTCAATTCAGTGAGCAGTACTGGCCCCAGTCTGTATGATGTGATACAGCAGCTGACAGGGAATCAGAACACAGATCAGTATGTCTTTCCCCAGTGCAGGAGTTTCTTGCGGCCTAGAGAGCTTCAGCTCATGTTGCCACAATGCCTTCAGGCAATATGGTAGTAAAACTGAATGCTTTTGCAGTATTAAAGCACTGGGGAGGAGGAAAGAAAGCAGAATAAAGAGAGGGGGATAGAGTAACCTTTCCATTATCTATTTGAACTGATCCTCTTTAAGGGCAAGAGAAAAAGAGCATAAGGCAAGTCATTTGTCCCATACAAAGCATCTGGATTAGATGGGTTGAACAGGCTTGGAGAACCCCCATGGAAAGGAAAGTTATACTGCCAGACACAGATCACAACACTCACCTGACAGCTTGGTTTGGTAGATACTCAAAAGGACTTCAGAGCTTTTGGACAGGGATATTTTAAGTAATCTAAGATACTGCAGGATCAGAGGATAGTATCCTCACAGGGACAGCAAACTGATTAAAAGACAGAAATCACAGGGCATAGAGTAAAAGATCAGTTTTCACAGTAATGAAAGGTCAGCAGTGGAGTCAAACATTTGTGCTGGGGTCTATATTCCTGTTTTAAAAAAGGAAATAGTGAGGTGAAAAAGTATTAAGAATGAGGAGTGATAAGTGAACCTTCTAATGCTGAGTGACTGGGCATTGTAACAGCAAATTATTTCCAGCACAGGTCAATATGGTGATATACACACTGGGGGAAAAAAAGCAAGAATCACAGTTTTTCAAATGAAGGGAATGACTTGACTTACTCATCACTCACTAGATCCTGATGTGGTAATTGTTCTTTACGTAATTGTATCAGTAACAAAGCAAACTGTTGTAACAAAGAGATAATAGCACACCTCGAATCATTACAGGGGCCCTGTAAATACCCAAGTTTTGAAAGCAGTGAGGGGAGTGTAACTCCCTGTAGAACCAGAACAGCTTTGTTGCCCGTTCACACAAATGATCAGAGGTATCTGCTAGTTCCCCTGTACACAAGTAATTGAATTGTCTAAAACTGTACAGGTTGTTTGAGAGGTAACTGGGCTGAGGGCAGAGAATGAAAGAAACACAACAGAGATCAATAAAAGCTGAGTGGTCTGGAGAACAGCTGCAGCAGTTTAAGTACACCAAAAGTTTTCCAGCCTCTGCAGCTGCTGGTGAGGCTGGAGTGATGAAGGCTGCACTCCTGGTAGCAGTTCATCTCCAGCTGTGCCTTCCCAGCCCTCCAGCAGAGGTCAGGGAAGACACCTGGTAGCAGCAGCTCAAGACTACAGACAAGTTTCAGAGCCTGAGCTTTGCTTTTGCACATTATTTTAATGAATGCAGCAACTCCATTACCGGGAAAGAAGTTTCCAAGGGAGCTTAAATTGAATAGAATACAATGTAGAATATTTAGAGAAATATTTCTTTTTCCCCAGAATCTGGGCCAGAGTGCAACTTCATCACTTCATATATGGCACTTCAAAGCAGGAGAGAAGCAGAATGAAACTGCAAACAAAAAAATGGCCTTAACAGAAGAGATTGGAATAGGTAAAAAGAGAGATGAGTTTTACTTAAAGATCTTTCTGAGAAAAGTCACTGTGGAAGAGTATGTGCTGCATCTTAAGACCAGTTACTTTTACAAGTACAGACCATAGTTTTTCAAAGATTGTTGTCAAGATTTGTAATAACTAGCAGCTAATTTGAATACTTTAAATTGTTTAACCTGGAAAGACCAAAACAGAGTTCTTGACACCTGGTCTGTTTGTTTCAAGACTGCTCACTAATCAATGCAAAAATATTCCAGGACAGTTCCTCTTCCTATGCTCCCCTCCACCCCATAGGACAGGATTTCTGAGGAAAGGCTCATAACTTCAGGGAAAACAAACAAACAGACCTCGCTCTCCTCAGTTGTCAGACACCCTTGGCATTCATCACAGCAATCCAACACACAGTTTGTGTTAGAAATCTTCTGTGTTACACAGTTTATGAAACATCTGAGGAATATTCTGTATCTGATTTCAGAGGGAAACAGCTGGACTGAAAAAAAATTGCACATGACAAGTTGTAAATGACATAACTCAAATAGTGCACGTTTATTCTGAACGGTATTTCTAAAGAGTTTGAGAAAAACAAAAACATGCTCCTGATGTACAACAAGGGCAATGATATAGATTAAAAATGGACCATCTTATTGTAAAGAATTTGCTCCCCCTGCAGCTTAACTTGTAACATTAAGAATTCATCTGTAAACTGCATAACAGCATACCTTTGACTAAACCTTAAACTCAAGAGACCAGGGGTGGTCTTAGCCAAATTAATCAGGAAGCAGTTGCAGATTCAAAAGAAACATCCAAGTCAGCAAACACTTTACAAAACACAGACTTTGTGCATAGCAGCTGACCCTGGATTACAACATGGGGAAGAATAGAACAATTTGGGGAAATCAAATTTTTACTAGACACAGGGCACCATCAAGATTTAACGAAATATCACATAAGTTTGTTTCAATCGTAACAGTATGTCATATTTAGTTGGCAGGTTTAACCATTAGCTGCATCATGTAAACTCAGCCAGTTTCTGTATACACAAAATAAATTCTCTCCCTTCCCCCTCCAAAAAACGAGGGATCTCTCTTCTGGATGATTCTTTTTCTCCTGTACCATGGTTTCCTCTAGTAGGAGTCTTTTTGTAGATAATATCTTCATATTTAACCGACATAGGACAAAACCAGTTGCAGAGATTCAGGAATAACTTGTATATACACAATTTACACTCTAGAGCTGTTAGTCACCCACATTTTTCTTGCTAGATCTTCATCCAGAACAGGAAGTGCTGGTGTTTTTTTTCCCCACTGAGACTCCTAACTTTTGAAAAATTTACTTGTTCATAAGCTGCTATTTTCAAGCTAAAAGGATGCGCTGCTGCAGCAACAACCAAAGTCACTGAAGTTCTCTGCAGTAAGCCCATACATCACACAATTTCAGTGTCTCTGGGTAACAACACTAAGATACAGCATTCTCCTCCCTCCCTCACCATGGTTGATATACTAATAAAATACAAGTGTTTGTCATCCAGAACTACTGACCTTCACTTGCCCTTATCCATGTACAGGGAACAAAACTTTCTCTGAGATTCAGAATAAACCTTGTATTCAAGATTCAACAACTGTTTTCCAGGATTAATAGCCTGGGAAAAGGAGTCCTAGATTTGTGGTTACTCTCTCTTCCACCTCCTACAAAACATTTTATAAGAAGTTACAGTGAGGCAGGTCTGCTGTGGAATAGGAGCTTTAAGAATTGTTTTCATGGATACATTCATAGAATGATGGCAGCCCAAAGCAAAAAGAGACAGAAACAAAGGTTAATCCAAGTAAGTTCAGACATCAGACTCGTGTTTTTAAACCTGAAGGAAAACTGTCTGTGAAACACACTGATTTGTGGAAGCCTACGACAACAGCAAATCCTAAGAGTTCATATCCCCACACCCATCTACCCAACCCAAACACTTACCACTTAGTTCTAGAAGAATGAAGAGCACTTTGCTTGGCACCAGAGGCAGCTATGGTCTGAGTTACAGCTGTGCTGCACAAACATCCTCAAATACAATACTATCTCTCTCTCCCTCCACATACTTCTCTTGATTTGGTCTACAGATGGCCAGGGAAACTATGTTGGCATATGACAAGCTAATTGTGCTTCAATACACCCCCTTCTAGAAAGATGCTGGAACGGCCAATATAACCACTGTGAGCAGGTCCTAGCCCTACTGAAAATAAGCTTTTGTCAAAAACTAGGCTGCCTCTGGCCAAGGGAACCGTTTGCATCTTTCTAGCCAGAGTCTGCCACCGCATGTTGCAAACACAGGTGCTCAGGCCACGCAGACAGGCTGTTGTTAACGATCTGCCCATCCCCAAGACTCAATTAGTGCAAACCCAGTAAATTAAGTAGCTGTTTTCCAGCATAGGTCAGTCAAGATGCACTCCAACAAACGCTACATACCTCTGGGAAAGAAGGAGTAATTCCGTAGCAGCTCACGTAGTCACCCCCTGGGTATCAAAGACCACACAATGTGCAACGAGGGGTGCCATCCCTTGCCTCACCACAACTCTCATCTTAGAATCCTTGGTTCCCAAGTCACCCTCTAATGACTGGACAGCACCTACTAACCAGATGTGTGCTGCAATGCGCACTATAGGTTGGAGGCTTTCAGAGTGGATGAATTCAAGATGCAGATTTAAATTTTAAAAAGCAAACAGGAAAGGAACGCAGTTCAGCATCTTCTTGGGGGATGGGGCAGGTTGGTGTTGTCTCAGCTCAGTGCACTTTCCCAGGTGCTTGGAGAAGAGTCCAAGCTCAAGTTGGTATTTATATTGGCATACATAAAATCGCTGGCAACAGTGCGTAGGAAAGGAGCACGAAAGGATGCAAAGCAGAGCTTAGTACAGTTCACTGTAGCCTCGAGTTTACAGTACTAGGAAGAAGACAGTCAGCCTATTTTCCAAACCCATAAAATGCTCTAATATATGCTGCTTTCTCTGGTGCTCCATGAACACCCTCCCACAACAGGAGAACTGCATTATTACTACTGAACAGAGAAAGGGAAAAATAATCTTCAAAGGAACAAACTGTGCAGTTCTTCACCACCTCTTCCCGAAGGAGCACATAAACACAGCAAGCCAAGCCAACCCCAAGCAAATCCAGGAGACCCCTGCAAAGCTATGTGACGAGGGTCAGACTCATGTCTGCCTTCTCTGCCTTGCTGCCTGGTTTCCTCAACCCTTGCCTCATCTCTAGATGTGTCACTACAGGTTTAGTAGCTGTAACAAACTGGAGACAGATGCTTGGTTATGTGATCAAAGCTGGTAAGGTGGTCACAGTCACTTTTACTATCCCAACACCACAGGTAAAACTAACTCTCAATGAGCCCTACAGCATTTCACCCATTTTTAAAGCAAGGGTCTTGCCTCAGGATTCATATTTTTACAAGGTTACTCTTGCCAGCACCAGATATAGCTTTTACTCTGGTAGAAGTCTGCTGGGAGTTGGGTAAATGAAAATAAGAAAAAACAAAGACCACTCTAAACTCTCCTCTCAGTCAGTTAAGAAGTGTAGCACCAGCTTGGGTGAGGAGTATTTAAAAAAGCATTCAAAAAGATCAGCCCAGGCAGAGTGAAAAGGTATGGTAAAGTAGCCCACCCTTCTCAGCAAAAGATGGAGGAAAAAGCCATACTCAAAAATATTGGGAAGAACTAAATATACTTTTCTGAGGCAGGGGGGATTAAGAGGAAGAGTGGGAAGTACTGAAGTAACATTCAAAGGTTGGGGGAGAGTAAAGTACCCTGTAGGTTATAAAAAACACGATAATGTAGGAGTCAAAGGACAAGATATTGCTTTGCCTTTTTTCCCCCCATTGGATTTACATTCTGCTTACTGAAAGAGTAATTCTGAAGGAAACTTGTCATCAGGATAACCTGCTCAAGCCCTCCACACCTCAAACTTATAAGAGATCTGCACACTTTTTCCCACCCCAACAGAAAACAAAAAACAAGCCCCCTCAAAAAGAACCCCACCAGAAAGGAGAGCTCAAAAAAAAAAAAAAAAAACCAAACCCAAAACCAACCAAAACCCAACCCCAAACATGATTGGACAATCCTTGGAAGAAGCATTACATTTTGTTGGAGAGAGGTCAAGAAAAAAAAAATTAAGATGAAGCGGTGGAGTAAGAAACAAACAAACAAACAAACAAAAAAAGCCTAAAAAAAAAAAAACAAGAGGCCTCTCTTTCCTTATTTGGCGACAAGCAAGTGCAAGAAAGTGTCCGCTGGGGTTTTGTTCAGTTGTCGGTCTTTTGCACATCTGCATTCTGGCCAAGACAAGGGGCTTTGAGGTTTTTCTGCAGCACATGGGCATCTGCGGGCTCTATCCTCTTGTAGTAGTTTTTCTTCGTCTCAATGATCTCAAAGCCAAACTTTCTGTAGAAGTCAATTGCGGACTCATTGCTGATCTGGACATGCCTGGGACAGAAGGGAGGAGAGAGCGACAGGTATCAGTATTCTGCCTCCACACCCAGAACGGTCAAAGACAAGGTAAGAAAAGGAGCTACCTAGCTCCTTCTAGCTGTTCTAGCTGTCTAAAGACAAGAAAAATGGTGTAAATTGAGGACTGGAAATTCTGCTCTTCCCAAATCAGTTCTGAGCTAACACGCAGCTCCTGGATGGCCCATGGCAACCAACAGCAGTAAATGTTTCCCCTCAGTAAAGCTCTTTTAAGGAACATAAAATAGCAGAGAGACCCTAAAGCACTACTACCTCAGTAATTACAATTTTTCTTAATCTGGAAATGGCAGATATTTTGTGGAAATACATAACAGAGTTTCACCGTAGGGCCAACTTTAACACCCTGTAGTAAATACTTCTCAGATGACCAAAGGAGTTGTCTAAGTGGTGATCCCAACACACTGCAACATAAAACTGGCAATTGTGTACACCTTGCTCACTTCTAACTACCCCTCTCTCCTCACAAAAAAGCTATGGCAGCACAAAGAAGCCTTATGGATTTACAAAGTCCTTTCCCCTTTCTTGCCCCTTTCACCTATTTCCCTTGAGTTTTACAGACTTTGCAAGCAAATTTCAAGAGTTCAAGGCCTCCAACACTAACAGGCATCAGTTCTTCATCCTAAGTGACTAGGACATCTATTTGCACAAGTTTCATTTAAAAAAAGAAAAAAAAGAAGAAAAGAAAGAAAGGAAAAAAAAATGTTTGGCTCAAAAGGCATTCATTAAACACTCTCAAAATTCAGTGGACACCACACAAACTCATGAATCACTTTGTCATGACAACATGCTGAATAACCATAGAACCAAAGCAACTCTGGAAGCAACAGCAAAACAAAACAAAAGATCTCAGTGTTAAGCCCAATAAGCATCAAATAGCTAAAAGGAAACTTCATAATAATGACAAATTTAGGCACTGATGTTAAGCTGTATAAATAATATATTCACATAGAATACGCACAAACACCAGACACAGTAATAAAATCAACAGGCCACTAAGAGAACTTTGTTATGTCCAGTTTTCAGGGCTATTGTTATCCCAGAATCCTTATTCTGGGAAGTGTAATGAAGGATTATGAAGGATTTGGCTTTTTGCATTAAAACCAGCAAACAGCCCCTTCGCTGTGCACACAGTAATGTGCAAAAACGAAAGCCCCTGTCCCATTAGCAGGCATCTGAGAGAGAGTTCATTACCACTTGTGAGGCAGGAGAGCAGGAATACAAGCCAAAAGCAACCTTACTCAGACTCCTCTTTAAAACACATGTTCCTCTTACAGAGATGGCACAAACAAACAACAGTAGAGGACGTGAAAGACTTTGCACCTCCATGGTAGAGGTGGACTAAGCTTGATACCATTGATACCATATAGTGGTATCAGTGTATGAAACATTCCTCACTCAGCATCTTCAGCAGTCCTGGCAAGAATTCAGGGTGCAGTTCTGTGCAGCACAAGTCCATCCATACCTGCTGTGGGATTATCCCTAGCAGTGCATCATGCTTGTGGTGGTGTAAGCAGGCAGTGATGGACAAGGAAAAAGCTGGCTCAGAGGAGTAAGTGATCAGGCCAAAAACTGCATCAGCTCATTTGGTAATTGCATGGACACCAACGCACAGGAAGAAGTGTGAAGCCAGCAGCAGAGGAGAAGCATGGCTTTGGCACCTATGGATTACAGGTTCTATTTCCAGGGGGACCTATTAGGATGGCTCTCCTCTACCCCAGTGCTTGTTCTCTTGTCTGCATCATGCCAAGTGCTTGTGCAGTTGATTAAAAAAAAAAAAGAAAAGAAAAAGAAAAATTCCAGAAAACCTTCCCCAAACCCACACTAAACCTAAAAACAATACCCAGAAACAAAACTGAAAACAGCTTCCCCAGCTGGGTGAGGGCACTGATCTAGTTTATTGTGTTGCTGCACAAATAGCTGACCTGTCAGTGTGCAGGAATGGGAATAGCAGTTTGGCCTTACTACTGAATGTAAACTCTCAGTGCTTGCAAGCATCTCAGATCTGATGTTCTAACCCACAGAGTGCTGTCACAACAGACAGATGGCAAATGCATCAAAACTGCATGCAAGACTGAAGGCGACACTGTAGGATAAAAATAAAATCCTTTGTAAAAAGATTTTTTGGTCATACAGTGTAATTTTGCTCTAGAACATCATTTTGTAACTAAACTACTTTCAAATTCAGCAAACTTGCAAAACCCTTGTAAAGCAAGCAAGCTTTTGGTTTTCTCAACCATCACACAACAAGCCCAGAATATGACCCCTAGCTTTCTTGCTAGAACTTAAAAGATTTTGCATGACCCCACTGAAATACATACTAAAAATGCTCTTGGATCTCCCTCCCTTTGCTCCTGTATCTACTCAGAAAATGCGTGGGTGTACCTTCTTTACTTACAGATAGATGTTGTCAAAAGTGCCGTCTTTTTCACAGATGTTTAAGACATGATTCAACATTTTAGTTCCTGCCAAAAGGTAAACAGATACTTCAGAAAACCAGAAGGGCACAATTAAGTACTTAGCTAGGTGCTTTCTTGAGGAGAGGCAGGTTAACTGTAGGTAGACCAAAATGATAGAGCTTGTGAGAAGTAGGAAAGGCAAATAAAACATGATGTGCAGGCATTTCACTGTCTCTCTGACTGCTCAGAAACTTTAATTCATTGTTGCTTTGAAGAAAATAAAAAACCCCACAACAGCCCAGAAGCATATTTTAATACCAGCTTCAAGGTGTCAAACTCACCTCAAAAAACGGTCAAAACAATGTATAAAGCAGTGAGAGCACTGGTAAGTTTTTCTACCAAAGACCTAGTAAAATAATTTAAAATAAAGTTATCTTTTCATTCCAGTTTATCAAAGCAAATGGGTTACTGTAAGGTCTTGATTAATCTGGCCTACGTATTTGCAAGGTAGAGCAAAGAACAAAATGCAGTATAGACAGAAATCAGGTACTACCGCTGAGTAGCAATGATCAGTAGTGATAAAGACAAAATAAACAGAAAAATCATACATTTAGAAGAGTGAAGGGAGAAGCCAATGAAGGAATGTGGTACTCCATTTATGTATGACTTGCATACTGGCTACATACTGCTAACAAATTACTTCATCTCTCCGCATCAATTTTCACATCTATAGAAGCAGAGTATTTACATCATAGTATGATAATATGGTTAAAATGAAAATAATCTGAAATCCTGAATTAAAAAATTCTACAAAAAGTCCATTTCTGAAAGGCAGGGAAAAAAGAGCACATCATAAATCATACTCTTTCCCCCAAGTCCCTTCCAAAGAAACCAGTGGTCTGAAAGTGCACTAACTTTTAAAAACCTGAAAGCACATCTAGAATGCTGCACAGCAACCTGGTTTCTCTGGTGACTCAGATACAAAAGATCCTCCTTACCTATTCCTAGCCTTCGGTAGGGTGCCAGGCATCCAAGTGTCATGATGTAGAGTCTCTTCTGGTTCTGGGAGTGATCCACCCTACAGCACACTGCTCCCACTGCAATATCATTGAAATAGGCTGCCAGGGAGAGAAACAAAGGGTTATCAGTCACAAATCTCAAACTGTACATACAGGTCCTTCATTTACGCCCTTGATCTTCCTTCCTCCCTCCCATCCCGCTAATTCTCCCATCCAGATAAAATATCATATATTGTGGATTCACACTTGAAGTTACCAGTGGAGCTCTAACACAGTGGATGCTTACTACTATTCAAACCAACCAGCAACGACATCAGGAGGTAAGCTGGCAGCACACAATTGTTTTCTGCTGAAACAGAAAACGTGCCTATTCCCAGTGGGATGTAATCTATTTAGAACACAAACCCTCTGAGGTTGGGACTGCTGCTTTTTTTGAAGTTCCCAAACAGTTATTTTTCATGATGTAAACCAACAAAATAGAAGGAGCTGCTGTTCAAAACCGTTACGGACAGCAATGATGAGCACTTCTGCCACCATAGCCCACAATTACTGGCAAGAACACTTGTACCTAATTTGGCTAGTTCGCCAACCTCCAGTACATCCTTGTAGAACTTGTCATTGTAGCTGACAGGAAAAATGACCTGGTTTAGCCTCTTCAGCTGCTTAATGTTGTGTGGCGTCACATCTCCCAGCTCGATCCGGCTACTGGAACAAATCAAAACACGCTTAACATCTGACACACTGCAAACTTTTTAAGGACACAAAAAATAAATCATTTTATTTATGCGTAGAGAACTGTCCCACCTAATCATCAGTTCAATACATATTTGAACTGCCATGTCCAACCCATACAATTAAGTCTTACGTTGGTGGCTGATATAACTCCCAAACCTAATTTCAGTGGGTACCATACAGTCAGAGATTTCTCAGGCCACACTTAACACTAATGTACCGTAGGGCACGTGTGGTTTCATTGGGTGGGAGACAGGAGAACACAAATCCCTGCAGAAGTATTAGCTTTAACTTTATACTGCTAATTTTCCCACTGATCATCAAGATCACAAGGGCAAAGAAAAGAAAACCCCAAAGAAAATAGCAGAGGAACAGAAAGCTAGAATAGAGACCAAGGAAATGAAGTCCTTATCCATGCTTCATAGACAGCCTTAATTTTACCACCTAGCAATACAAAGCTTACGCTTAGACAAAGTCACTACTAGACATATTTCTCTAAAAAACAACAATGCTGTGTGCAGCAAACATATTAAGCCTGTTAATATGCAAGTGTGCCCCTCTCAAGGTGGTATCTGCATCTACTATGATCATCTCTGATGTAATCCTTCCTGCTGACTGAGAGCAGAATCACAACTTTAAAATATCAGTACTGAATTATACTGAGAACAAACAGACCAAGTTTCTCTCTTTTCTAATACTAACTTCCTGACAGAAACACTATATACACAGAAGCAAACCTAAACAAACCAAAGAAAAATAAATAAAGAGATCAGCTGCCCCTAGGTGAATGTAAGCAGTTTTAACAAGGACTACAAGAATGAAAAATAAAAACCCCAAGATAATCAAAATCATTTCCCAAATGGTCAACAGAATAAGAGGGCAGGTACAAAGCCAATACACATGGAATTAGAAATGCAAAGAATTCTCAGTTCACCTCAGCCCTGTTTTTACCAAATACACATGGGCAACTAGATTGTTTTCTGCCCAAACAGCAGGAGAGACACTGCTCGCCTTTTAGAAAAAAAAATCAAATTCCATTTTCAAAGAAGCAGCTTTGTACATCAGGCTTGAAGTTCATTCTAGTAATGTGCTGCTTTCCATCTCCAATGTCTCTTGTGCCTAGGCAGGTTGTTTTTCAGGTAGGTTAATCCCTAGGACACAACAGCACAAGTTAATTTAAATAACACAGTGACGCTAAGAAGATATAATAACCAACAACTTATTTTTCTTTAAGAACTGCAGCAAGCAATGCAGAGTGTAATCTGTCTCTGTTTTATTTACTGACCTTGGTTATACAGAAAAACCCCCTTAAATGATTAATACTCCAGATACCAGTTTTAGTTGTCACTACCAATGATGGGTGATAAATGCACAGTGCTCTCTGGGCATTGTAGTGCAGCCTGAAAAACTATCAGAAAAAGCTACAGGAACGGAGTCTTTAACGTTTACTTCAAGAATCATAACTTACCTTCACACCTACTTTCTCTTTTTACAGCAAAGAATACAGTTTTCAGTTCTGCTGAGATATCAAGGCTCACCATTGCCCGCTCTCCGGCATGACACAATCACCCTAGTGTTCCCCACAGAAGCTAAACAACTTGTAAGTAGGGCCTATCTTTTAGAGGACCACCAAGCATAAATGGACAATTGACAAGTTTGTAATTCTCCATGACATTAAAATGTTTGAGTTACTACTTTGAATTAACGGATGGCATTTACACATCAACTTGGCTCACTCCAAAGTTTAACCTTTTTGTCACGCATTTGCCAAAGAGATTAAAAAGCCCCCTGATTTCAAGCATCTCATGTCAGTATGGGTTCTTGCAAACTCTTCCAGGCAGCTCCTCATCTACCTTCCCCCCACCACACTGCACATGTCAACCTTTTTCCTCCAATTGCAAAGGCAATTGCTAAGCAATGAATCCTTGCAGTTTGTCCTCGAGCTCTGCTCACTTGTACAGCCATCTCCTGAGAGACATCTCACTACATGGACAGTATGTTCTCCAACAGTGATTTCAATAATGACAGAAGAAGCAAGAGACTCCATATTCTTGCATTTCATCCATGTCAAGATACACAGGCATACTATAGGCAAAAACAAGAGGTTATATGTCTAAAGTTTCTTGCTATAAGCCACTACATTGTGCTGAAATAGTTTGCAGTATCTCTTTTCTGTGAGTCCTACCACAACCACCCCTTTGTTTCACAGCCTTTTCCATCTTCTAGATTATTTTTGCTCTCAGGATGCCTTTCTTCATGTTTGCCATTTGTGTGAGTCCCTTTGATAATGCTATTTCAACACACAATAACTTCTGAGCTTGTAAGGATGATCTCCTCACACCACAGAAGTTATCAGATGATGGAGAAACTGCAATGCTTGCTTTATGCCCAGCTGTTCAGCCTAGCATGGCAGGGCTTCTTCAGGCACACAGAAGGCAAGTTGTGCCCTTTTCTAATCCCAGCCAGCAGTGCTGCTACTTCTTCCTCACAAAAGGCAGGAATAAAACTGTGGCATGTCTGTTCCTGGGTATATTTCTGTCTGTTAGAGAGTTTTGCTGGAGCAGAGCACCTCAGTAATCTTGCATTAGAAGGGAAGAGAAGACTGAACAGCCTCTTTTGTTGCCATCTGCATCAGAGTGGAAACCAAAGGGAGCAGGTCTCAACTGCCCGGGTAGGCCAGATTAGCTGCAGTGTAGGAGGTCAGTGAGAGAGGAGACAAATCTCACACTCATATTTAGTCATTGAAAGTCTAGACCTCTTCTCCAAATAATATATTAACCTTGGCAATACTTTTTTTATATCAATAGTTCCAAGCTCCCATAGATCAGCAATGCTAGCATGATGAACTCACAGCCAAGTGGTGAACTCACAGCAAAGTTGTTATACAGGAGGTCCCTTTTGATACTTGAGCAAAAATCTCTGACATAGACCATCATCAGCTAGTGCATTTTCTAATATTATTTTAAAATTAATTAGTTACTAATGAAACAAATGAGGCATTAGAAGGCAGTCACTGTGAAATATTTATGATGACAGTGCAGCAGGACATAGATATATTATCACAGGCAGCCAGGGCAGGATGTCTAAGAAAAGACCATGGCCAGAAGACAAACCTTCACCAAGAAGGTTTCAGACAGACAATAAATATAAATAAATGCAGAAGCAGAGTCCAAGGCTGCTGGTAGCTGCTGAGCCAAGACATCGCCTCTGAGGCTGGCATCAGGCCAGAGAAACGAGTTCCAGTAGTAGGTGTCTAAAAGACACTTGTCGATAGATTTCCTAGAGCCCTTAGACTTCCCCCCTCTATCTCTCACCACTTGCCACATTCACTGCTGCCTCCTGCCATCTCCTGCTGCCTGCCTCCTGTGCTCTGTCACTAGCTGGTTCCTCGCTGCTTGAGAGTTGCACCAGGGCCAATATTTTATCCTGGAGGAAAATATGAAAAGGGTTTGAGAAACACTGCAGGAAGCATAAATCAATATGCTAAATACATCTGCTTAAATAGTATGCACTAAACCCATAAATTACTTTAATGTATAGTACTAGTTGATTAAATCAGCACCACATCTATTACGCACAAAAACATTTAATAAGCAAACTAAATGAGGATGTGGAAAGGAAGACCCACATCATGAGAGTTTATCATTTTGCCTGAGGACAATGTGGCAAAAGTGCCACTGTGGCCTTGAGTAAAATCATGGGAAAGCTGGCACTGCTGCCAAAAGCAGCAGTCTTGCTGTCCCCAAGCCACACATTCCCGTCTTCTTTTTGGCACAAACATTTGTGCAACAATGTGGTGAACCAACACCAATTAAAACTAACCTAGCCAAAAAAAGAAAAGTTTAGTTTTAACCCACATCAGTCCCCTGACTGGGTTCACCACACAAAGTCTTCTGCCAGCATAAAGAGAAAACAAGTTGCCAGAGGCAGAACTTGTTGGTTCTTGAACAGAAGTGCCAGCCTACCCCAGTTTAACCTGGAAGCACTGTGCAAGAGCAGCACGGGGATGTAGATCTGTCAGTACACCTGTGAACACAGTACAATGTCCAGCCAATACAGTGCTACACTTTATCATTTACAGAACAACATACCTTTAAGGATTTTAAAAAAACTATTCCAAATATCCAAGTCAAAGCACCTGTAACAAAGGACACAAAATGATCACTCCCTTCCTTTCACTGGAGTAAAGCAAATACCTTTGTGGGGCTTTTTACTTTTTTTTCCTTTCCTTTTTTTTTTTTTTGTTAGTTTTTTTTTATTTTAACAGCTAGTTACAACTAGACCTGCTTCTTCAAGCTACTTCTCAGCCAAATCGGTAACATAAGTTTACCTTGTCAGCTAAGGTCTGATTAGGCCAGTCCTATGCATTCCCACTCAGTAGAGGTATCAGAAATACCTATCCTCTGCTGTTGCAAAGAAAAAAAATAAATTATGAGCCCAAATTAGCAGAACATAAAGATGTGTACAGAGCCTGAAGCATCCAGAAGAGATATGCCCTTCCCTAACAGATTATTTGACTCTATGATGCCAATAATATTACTAAGAAGATATACACTACTGACACCCTACAACACTACTGACACCCTACATCTCAAACGGCACTCCATGGAGCATGCAATAGTCAACTGTACTCCATCTTAACTTCTGGAACAAGTTAACTACCCACCCCAAGCAACTATTTTTAACATGGCAGAATGAGGGACTCCTGGGTCATCATGTCAGGCCTCTTACTACTACAGTGTTCTACAAATCCATACCCTTTCCTTGACGGAATAACAGCCCTCTGAAGCCACTTAAATGTCTTCCACTGTAAGGCTGTTCCCAAGATACCATTACTCTCATAGTTAGGCTTTCTTCTGATTTCCATCCTAAATGCACTCAAGCCTACCCATATGCTGTCTGTAGATGATGGGTACCAATAATGTCCATCACACGTGCCTTTTCAGAGAGTTATGATCTCTTTATGCTTTCCT